CATGGGCACCTCCAGGTGTGTTCCGTGCAGACTTGGGGTGCTGTACTCTCTGTAGACCCCATGGGCACCTCCAGGGGTGTACTGTGCAGACTTGGAGTACCTCAGTAGGGGGCAGACCCTGTCATCCCCGAGTACCCCCAGGGGTGCCAGTGCGCACCCAGCCTGCTCTTGGGGTCCTTTCTCGTCCTAGGAACTCCGGAGGAGCGTGGTCTCCTGGCATGGAACCAGATCCAGGAGGAGTCGGCGGAGACAGCCACGGCTTCCGAAATCTACGGCCTCCCCGGGGGCCTGGGCACCACACTCTGCGTTTCCACCTGCATCCGGCGCCTCCCCTTCTGGCCTCGTTTTGAGGGAGGCACGAAGAGTGGGGTGGGGGTGAGCCAGGTCACCCTCTGTCCCCCTGACTTCTCAGGAGACCACCCCAAAGATGAGCCAGAGACCAGGATGTGAAGTGAACCATCCTCACACCCCTGTTTTACTCACTGTGCAAATGACCCCCCAAAATTGACACAAAGACCACACTTCTCAAATGCTTTTTAATAACCAGAAATCGGAATAAAACGTTACAGAACAAAACAACCTAACGCAAAACGTCTCCAACGTCTCCAGGGCCCGGGCGGGTGGGACTGGGGAACCGTCCCCTCGCGCACCCCTCCTCCCAGGCCGAGCGGTCACAGGTCATCGTCGTCAAAGGTTTCCATGCATCTCAGCAGTATCGCGTCCTCGTCCACGGCCACGGGAGGCTCCTGGGGAACAGACGGGGCTCAACCAGCGCTGCCCACGAGGCCGGACTCCTCCTCCTGCTCCCACCCCTCTGCAGCCCCTCCCCGCGGGACGCAGGGCTGGAAGGTGACGCTGGCTGCTGTAGAACTGGTCCCCGTCACAGGTGACCTCAGGTGCATGGAATGGCACAGGTGCTGTCCTGCAATGTCCCCACAAGGGGTGGTGTGTTGGACCAGCGTGACCGTACGGTTTCTGGTGGCTGACCTCCTGAAGCAGGTCACCAGGACAACATTCCAAGTGAGGCCATTTCACCATTTCATCCTGCACTCTGCCCTCCAGAAAGCGGGGTCCTGAGAGCAACGCTGGCTTCCTGATTAGGGGAGCAATCCTCAGACTCTGTCCTGAGATCTCTCAACAATAGCTGGTGGACCTCACCTGGCCGCCTGCATCACAGCGGCCCACCAGTGGCCCTCACCTGGCTGACCATATCACAGCCGCCCATGAGTGGACCTCACCTGACCCCCCCACATCACAGCCACCCACCAGTGGACCTCACCTGGCCGCCCGCATCACAGCTGCCCGCCAGTGGACCTCACCTGACCCCCCACATCACAGCCACCCACCAGTGGACCTCACCTGGCTGCCTGCATCACAGCCGCCCATGAGTGGACCTCACCTGACCCCCCCACATCACAGCCACCCACCAGTGGACCTCACCTGGCCGCCCGCATCACAGCCACCCACCAGTGGACCTCACCTGGCTGACCGCATCACAGCCGCCCACCAGTGGACCTCACCTGACCGCCCACATCACAGCCGCCCACCAGTGGACCTCACCTGGCTGCCTGCATCACAGCCGCCCACCAGCTGTTCAAAAAACGGTGAGAAAATACCTCATCTGTGGGCTGGACGGTTAAAAAGGCAAGTGTGGACACGGGTGGGGGCTGCCCGTGAGGAGTCTCTGGTCAGTGGTCAGAGTCGGGATGGATGGACAGGAGGCGCTAGCAGCCATGGGCTCTGGGAGGGGGCGTGGATTAGCAGCCAACAGACCTGGCAGGCGAGAGGCTCACTGTTCACTGTGGATATCGTAAGAGAACCGGCCCCAAGGCCACTGTTACCGAATCAGTTCTGCCTATTACAGCCCCCAGGCCGCAGAGTGGAACTGCTGGGGGGCTTGCTGGGTGGACGTCTTCACGGATGCAGAGCTCTGAGCTCCCCCCAACCGCACTGCTGGCTGGGTCTGACCACTAGTCTCCGGGGGACAGCGGGGCACAGTCCGTTTGTGCCATCTAAGGACGTTCTTGGAAAGTAGAGGGTCAGTGACCAAGGTGAAGCCTGCAGTGAGATGGCCATGCACTGTGGGCCCACACGCAGGGACGGCTATGAGGGGCCATGCTCGGTTCTGCTGCACACAGGTCCCTGGCTCCGAACCGACAACAGCACCTCACAGCATTGCGCCCTGGGCCCCGAATGACTCCTTCTTGTGTCAGAACCGACCCGAAGCTGACCTCCTAGCAGGTTTTTTGAGGCAATTATCCACATGGTAGGGGACTGCCCATCCTTCTCCCGCAGAGTAACTGGTCAATTTGAGCCGCGTACCTTTGCCCTGTCTACACGATTTCTAACCACCCCAGGACCACACACCTGGTTTAATAAGCACTGTTGCTAGTTGAGAAAATGCACCACTTGCAAATGCACCAGGGCCTCACCCCCCAGAAAGCTACGGGGGAACTGAGTTCATGTCCAAGACCCCTGCCGTTCACACCACCCGTTAACACACAGCCAGCGGCCAGCCTGAGGCCTGCAGTCAGTCACAGGAACTTTTGAAAGCTGACGGGGGCGGGTGTGTGTGTGTGTGTGTGTGTGTGTGTGTCACAGAGGACAGATGGACCCTGGCTCTGAGAGGTGGTCAGTTCCCACCAGCACTGGCAGGTGTTTAATGAGAGCTGGCCCGGTGTGGGCGCCCAGCCTGGTGTCCCTCGGTGCCTTCTCCTGGCCGCCCTGGACGGCTCCCCTAGGACAAGCCGGCTGCAGCGGGGAGAATGAAACCTGCCGGGGTCCCCAGGAACCTCTGACAACCTGCCCGCACACAGTGCCCACCTGGTGTGACTCTGGGCCCTCACAGCACAGGCCATTGAAGAAGTCCAGGATCTGCATGTAAAGCTGAAACTTCTCCACGTTGCAGATGGCGAACGCAGGACTGGCAGCAGAAAGAAGAAATGGTGGTGTCAAGTGAATGGCTTTCAGGGTAGAGGGAGCAGACTCAGGGGAGCAGACTGACCTGTGGCGGCCACCACAGGCTCAGAGAGCAGCGGCCATGACGACAGGCCGGCCCCAGGCGTGTGGGCTTCTGGCGTGTGCAGGGCTGGACAGAGGGGCCTGACAACAGCACCCTTTTACCTCAGCTTGGGTGGTGCAAATGCCTAAGCACTTGACTACCAGCCAAAAGCTTGGAGGTTCAAACCCACCTCGGAAGGAAGCGCCTGGGAAGAAAGGCCTGGCAATCTGTTTCTCGCAGGTCTCAGCTTACAGACCCTGTGGGGTGCTCACGCTCCACAAACTTGGGGTACAGCTGAGGGGCCCGAGTGACCGCTTGGAACACTCTGACAATCCACTACCGATCCATGGCACTGGCCAGGCCGTCGTGGGGCAGTGGGAGGCCGGCCAGGCCCCCAGGGGGCCTCTGTGTCCGCACGACTCCGGAGCTGATAACAGGGACTTGAAACCTGACGGAGGGGGTCCCAGAAGACAGAGGGCTCGTGCAGACCTCTGGGTCTGACCACTGCTGTCCCTGGGTCACCTGACCCTCACCCCCACCACTTCTGGAATGTGACCTCAGCTGCCCCAGGGGCCGTGTGGACCTCTGAGTCAGACCCCCCCTGACCCCAGCCATCTCACCTGGAATCAGAGGCGCTGGGACTCTCGTTTATGTCCAGGGTCACATGGAAAGCATCTTCGAAGAGGCTCTGAAAGAAAGCACAGGACTTGGTGTCCCAGCGAAGCCTTTATGGTGAGATGCTCACCTGGACGGCTGGAGAACGGTGAGGAGGGGGCTCTCCTGGCTCTGAGTCAAACAGGGGTCCCCAGGTCAGAGCTGGGGGCTGGGGGCTTGGCTTCTAGTGACAAGCCTTGGGGGCTTCAGTCACAGAGCAAACAGGCTCTGGGCAGCGGACATCGGGGGGACCAGGGGACCAGGCGTGGGAGCAGCAGGCCTCCAAGGCCCTCCCGCTTCTGGAAGAACCGCTGTGGGCTGCCCCTGACTCCGTGGGAAGGCCGGGAAGCTCACGGGAGAAGACGCAGTGCTGTTCCACGGCCATGGGAACTCTGTGGTGGGCATCGTGGGGATTCTGTCAGAAAATCGGGGGCCCGCCGCATCTCGTAGACCCTGGGTGGCATGCCCGGTTAAGTGCTCAACTAGGAGCCAAAAGGTTAGCGGTTCAATTCACCCAGAGGGTCCTTGGAAAACAGTCCTGGACATCTGCTTCTGAATGTCACAGGCCCTGAAAACCAGTGGGACAGTTCTACTGGGGCGCTCGGGGGTCAAGGTGAGTCAAACCTGCCTCAACTGCATCTAATGACATCCGGTGCCTGACCGTGGTGTTTGCATGGACGGGGACAGGACTGAGGGGGCCTGACCGTGGTGTTTGCATGGATAGGGGGACGGGAGTGAGGGCGCCTGACAGTGGTGTTTGTGTGGACAGCGGGACAAGAGTGAGCGAGGTGGAAGGGCTGATGGCTTTGAACTGTGCCCTGACCGTGGTTGTATGGACAGCTGGACGGGAGTGAGGGCGCCTGACCGAGGTGTTTGTGTGGACAGCGGGACGGGAGTGAGCGAGGTGGAAGGGATGACGGCTGTCAGCGGTGCCCTCAGGACACACAGGTATGTCCCCGAAGTTCTCCTTACATGAAGCTCACTGCTTGGGCATGCTGTCAGGACCAGTCCTTGGAGAAGGACATCATGCTTGAGGAATTAGGAGGCCGGAGGAAAGGAGGAAGACCCTCAGTGAGGTGCACTGACACAGTGGCTGCCAACGATGAGGTCAAGATCCGCAGCAGCTGCGGAGGCGTCAGGACTGGGCAGCGTTTTGCTCACGTGAACGTATCGTCGCTGTGGACCAAGAGCTACTTGCTGGCGCCTCACAACAGAATCTAAACACACCTCAAAGTTGCTACATGACCTTGAACGAGCTCCTGGTGCCACGGGGCTGTCCCTCTCCTCCCCCTGCAGTCTGCGTACCTCCTCTGCAGTGGAGACCAGTGGGCAGTCGGTGCCTTGGCCATCCACTCCGCTGACCACAACATGGCCCTCGGCGCCTGCTGGCTCCTGACCGACCCCTGGGGGTCCCGGGGGGCCGCTGTGCGCCTGTGCCCGGGCCTGGAGGAGGCCGGCCTTCTTCTCCTCTGAGAGGTTCTTCCACAGGTGGGAGATGGCCCCAGAGACGATGGGCAGTTTCCCCTCCTGGGAGGAGATGATGCCGTTCTCCATCAGGACGTCCATGGCAAACTTGTAGAAGGTGAGGTACCTGAAACAGAAGCCGCCACAGACCTCAGACTGGACCCAGGGGTGGAAGGGCCCCCAGAGGTCTCGCCGTGGGATCCACGCATGCGCTCAGGACATCCATGGTACACAGGCCCAGTGCCCACCTACAGGCCGGCTCTGGGTCTCAGGGTGTCTGCACACGCTGTAGACTGTTGGCGAGCAGACACCACCTTGGGGTCACGCCTGAAGTAATTTGTGCTGCCAGGGCCCCCCCCAAAGGACTCTGGGTGCCCCGTGAAGGTCTCTAAGTGACAGAAATGAGAGCTGTGACTCGCCTGGTTCCCACCTCACCCTGGGAAGCTCCAAGCCCGCCAATGTGCAGACACGCACTACTCCTCAGTCACAAGCAACTGAATGGCACACAACAACAACACCACAACAGCACGTCAGGCCCAGGGCGGTGCGATGGTGAAGTGCTTGTTTGTGGTCAGTGGTTCAAATCCACCAACAGCTGCTGTGAGGGAGAAAGACGCGCGGCCTTTTCCTATAAAGATCAGTCCTGACCCCGTGGGGCGGTTCTACGCCCGGCGGCGAGGTCCCCGCGAGTCGGAATGGACCTCATGGCCGTGGGTTCGGGGTTTCTGCAGGAGACCGTGGGCGCTGGGCCCCACCAAGTCGGCTCTGACTCAGCGATGCCACGTTTACTAGAACAAGACAAGTGCCCAGGCCGGTGCCATCCTCAGGCATGGCTCTGTGTAAACCCATTGTCGAGCCACCGTGCCCATCTGTCCATAGAGCGTCTTCCCCTTTGACATTGACCTCTGACTTTTCCAAGCAGGATGTCAAGCATAATGAGGACCTGACCTTTCCTGACATGGTCACAGGGTGTGAGAGGAAGTCTCACCACTCTTGCTTCCAAGGAGCGCTCTGGCTGTGTTCTTTTGGAAGCCAGCGCCACAAGGTGGGTTCAGAGTGCGAAGTCAGCATTGAGTGCCCAACCACTGCACCACCAGGGCTCTTCTGAAGATTACGGCCTCGGGAGCCCTCTGGGGCAGTTCTGCTCTGTCCTGCAGGCCTGTGAGCTGGAAGGGCCTTGGGGGGCACTGGGCTAAATCTGGCCCCACTGTGGTGTGGGCCTCTTTCTGCTCTGGGACCCAGTGTGGCCGCGGAGGGGTCTGGACAGGGGACGGGGCATGGCAGGAAGGTGTGCCACACTGTCTCTTGTGAGCCCAGGGACACTATGGCAATGTCTTCAGTCCTCATAACTTCCATCAGTCCCCCCAGAACAAGCCCACTGAGTCAATTCTAAGTCATGGTGACCCCAAATATCACAGGGTATCCCTGTGTGTGTGCTTGTCTGTGATCTTTATGGACGATTGCCAGGCCTTTCTCCCACGGTGCCTCTCGGTGGGTTGAGCAAAGATGCTTGTACCCAGTAACGGTCCCCAGGACAAGCGTGTCAGAGAAACACCCCAGTCCACTGCCCTCGCGTCAGGTCTCGCTCAGGGATTCCCCCTCCTATTCCTGAGGCTGTAAATCTTTATGGGAGGACGGAGCCTCCTCTTTGACCCAAAGAGCAGCTGGTGGATTCAGGTTTCCAATCCTTCTGTTTGCATTCCAATACGCAATGCACTTTGCCACCAGGGCGCCCAGTCACAGTGTCTGTGCTATGTGAATGGGGCTTCCGGGCGATTTCTGCAGCCCGCCTGCTGGCCCCACCGTCTCTGGGGAAATTTTGGAGCCTCCAGGATTCAGGTTGGTTGGTCTGGGTGTCTGGAAGGAGCTCTGATGGCCTAGTGTTAAGAGCTACACCGCCATCCCAAAGGCTGCCCTGTGGGGAAGAATGGGCGGTCTCCTCCCATTTGATTTACTGCCTCCCAAAGCCTGTTGGGGGTCAGTCATGGGACAGTTCCGGCTGGACGGCACAGGACGACTACTCACCCCAGAGCTGTGACCCGCCCGGCACCCCTCTGCCTGCCCCTTCTCAGGAGTGCCTGTCCAGGGCTGGCCACCCCGCTGCTCACCGTTCAAATTCCAGGAGGTCCGGTGACAAGGCTCCTGGGGAGCTGACAAGCTCCACTCTGTCTTCTTCCTCCTCCTCCTCTTCATCCTCTTCCTCCTCCTCCTCCTCCTCTTCCTCCTCCTCCTCTTCTTGGTCTTCTTCTTCCTCCTCCTCCTCCTCTTCCTCCTTCTCCTCCTCCTCTTCCTCCTCCTCCTCCTCCTCATCTTTCTCCACTTTAGATGTCAAGTTCCAGGGGCTGCCCTTCTTACGAGCCCAGTTCGAGGTCAAGCTGGGGAGCAAGCAGACACAGCAGCTGCAGACCCCGACGCTTCACCCACCGGAACGCAACAGGCAGGATGCCATTTAAAAACAAGGGGGAAAGGCAGGATCCTCAACGTGCAATAAAGCAAAACGCAATAAAATGCAGTAAAGCGAGGCGTGAGTGCACACACAGCCTCTGCACTGATAGAGCAGGACCCGCCGAATTGCACGAGAAAGCCGAGTGTGTGAAACCACAGCTGAAGCGCAGTGCAAAGGCCCCACCGCCCACCCTCTGGGCCCGCTCCCCAGCCCTGCACAGCTGCGCCTGTGACTGTGGGGGACAGGACAGCTCGCGCCTGGGCTCCTGGTGTGGCTGGGACTGACCAGTGACTCTTGGCATACATCCTGGCGTATTCTTCCTTGACCTCCTGCAAGGTGCTCGCATGCCCATCCGCCAGGTTGAAGGAGTCTGTCGGGGGGTTGGAGGTAAGAAGACAAGTCAGGCCTTTGTCAAGTGTCTCCTGTCTCTATCTCCAGCTCAGGAAGGAATCCCTGGTGGCGCAGTGGGTAAAAAGCATTCAGCTATTCCCCAAAGGGCCAGCAGTTCGGTCAGCCCACTGCCTTGGGAAGCCTACGGGGCAGCTCTGCTCCATCCTACAGGACTCCTGGGAGTTGGCATGGACTCGAAGGCAGGAGGTGGGTCCCCGAAGCCACCCCGGCTCAGTGTGAAGGAGCCAGGAGCCTGGGCTCCCCTCTCTGTGAAGGAGTGAGGGAAGAACACAAGGCCAGGTGAGAGTTTCCAGAATGAGCGGTGACCTAGAGATCGAGAAATGGGAAGTATCCCTTCCTGAGTTCATCTTCCAATAGCTTAAAAGAAATCTAGTGGTCATCTAATGAATTCGGACTCACAGTGACCCTGTGTGCAGAGGAGAACCTCAGAAAACCAGGGTTTTTCTGGGCTGTCGTGTCTGCGGGAGCAGATCACCAGGCCTTTCTCTGCAGACACTGCTTTGTGAGTTCAAACAGGCAACTCTCTGTTAGAAGCTGAGCACAGACTGCTTGCTTTGCCCTGGGAGACAGCAGGCACTCGGTATTAACTTGTTTGAACATCATCTGTTTTAGGTGGAAAAGGGGAACCGGGTCTCCCATGGGAAGGAAAGGAGGTGCCAGGTGGGGGAATCACTTACCTTTTAGCTTCAGCAAAGTATCCAAGGTTTGTTCTAGGTCTTTAATATGGATCTTGGCCTTATTCAGAATCTGCCACTGAGGGTAGAGACAGTCAGCATTGAGGTCGGCGGCTTTCTCTGCAGAGGCTGGTCAGGTGGGCCCTTCCCTGTGCTAGGGCCAGGCCTCAGACACCCCTGAGTACACGTGGGAGTACGTGTGATATGTATGGTGTGGTGTGTGTGAGGTGTAGGCAGTGTGTGTGTGTTTGTGGAGTATGCTTACGGGGAAGTGTGGGGTGTTTGTGGGTTATGTGGTGTGATGCGTGTGCGGTATGTTGGGGTGGAGGTGTGTGGTGTGTGCGTATGTGGGATGTGAGGTGTAAGGGACGTGTGATGTGACTAAAGGTATATGTTTGGGGTGATGATGTGAGAACAGTGTGGGGTCACGTGTGTTTGTGGTGTGTGGTGTGCTGTGAGTTTGGGGTGGAAATGAAGTGTGAGGCATGTATTTGTGGTGGATGTGGTATGTGTGCTGGGGTGCGTGGGTTGTGTCCTGCATGGCGTGGTGCATGGTACATGTGTCGTGTCATGTGTGGTAGGCGTGTTGTGTTGTGTGTATGTTTGTGGTGTGTATGTGCTCTGTGTGTGTGTGTGTGTGTGTGTGTGTGTGTGTGTGTGTGTGTGGTGTTTGGGGTGGAGGTGTGAGGTCGGGGAGCTGCTACATGCTGTCTCCTTTGGTGAGTGGTGGATGAAAATCGGGTTTCTCCCCGGGCTGGCGATGTCTCTCTGACCCCAGCTCGTCCCAGCGGCTGGGTGAGGCCCCTTGGACACTCAGCACACACAGCAGTGCAGATACAGAGCCACGGAGCATCCGGCCTGGCCTCGGGCAACAGTGACTCAGACAGGCCACTGTGGGCTGGTGCCCATCTCGTCCACAGCCCCTGCAGCGCAGAAGCCTGCCCTCCCCACGCTGCCGTCCCCATACCTTTGAGGCTATGAAGTCAGCCTTCGCATAAACAGCTTTCCTCAGGCTGCTGAAGAGCCCTGACAGAGTGGCCTGGTGCCAAGCCCGCGACAGACGTCGGCAGGCCACCCGGGGCACCAGCTTCTGCTGCTGCACTTGAGGGTCGGGTGTCCCTCTGCCACTCTGCCTGTCACCCTCTCCAGAGGTCTCCATTGCAAGCTGCAACGTAACAGCATTTTTACTTTTGTTGTAAACCATGACACACTGTTAGAGAAAATCTATATGCTGGGAAAATAAGAAGCTAGACTTGGTGAAGAGGAATGTGGAGGAAGCCTCATCAACAACCTATGACATGCAGATGGCACGACCTTGCTTACTGAAACGAAGAGGGCTGGAGGCACTTAGTGATGAGGTACAAAGGTTACAGCCTTCCTACAACTCAAAGGAAAGAAAATCCTTCCTACTGGACCAATAAACTGCATCACGTTAAGTGGAGAGAAGATGGACGTTGTCAAGGATTTCTTTTTACTTGACTCCACATATCACTTTGAAGACTAAGGTGCACCTGATTCAAGCCATCTACAATCCAATTGCCTCATGTGCACGCAAAAAATTAGGGAAGAGCACAGACAAACTGAATTCAGAGAGAAAGTGTGGTGGGAGGGGTAGGGTTAGGGTTAGGGTTAGGACTAAGGTTAGGGTGAACGCTCGGGCAGCGGCACTCCATGAGGTCTGCGGGAATTCAGTCCATGGACAGGAGGTGGTCGTGAGGGAGAGAGACAGGGTCTTAAGGTTCCAGGCCGGTGGGAGGATGGAGATGATTCTAGAACACAGCCCCGTTCTATGTGCAGGATTCACATCACCCACCCAGCCTTTCTAGGCTCTTCTTTCCCTGGAAGCCCACCGCCCACCGCCGGCCCGCCGGTTCTGTCCGGCTTCCGAGGTGCAAATGTGCACGGAGGGGGCTGCCCCCCCCCCTGCTCCTTGGAGCACCTGGTGGGTTCGAACCGCTGACCTTTTGGTCTCTGCACGGACAGGGTGAGTTCGATGACGGATCACACGGGGGACCCCTCCCGACCGGTGTCCTGGGGTACAAGTCTGGAGGGGTGCCCGGGGAGGGACCCGGTCGCAGGGGTTCAGGGAGCTGCATGCCGTGCTTTTGGGGAGCCCCCTCCCGGGGCAGCAGCCCAAGTTCATGCCGGGCGGTGAGAGGAAGGAGAGAGGCAGCCCAGCCCGCCCTCAAGCCCCCGCCCGGGCCCCATGCTCACCCTGCATCCGCTCGTGGGGTCTGCACCCCCTGGAGAAGAGGGGGCTCCGGGCAGCGCTGGGTTTATCACAGCGGAGGGGAGGGGCCGCCCTTCCCATTGGCTGCGCGCTGTCACCGGGCGCCGCACTTGACCGCCTGCCCGGTGCAGCCACAGGCTTCGCACCTCGGCCTCCGGGGACCAATCACAGCGCGGCGCCCCCGGCCCGCAGCCAATGGGGGCGCTGAGCGGCAGCCAATGGGAGCTCGCTGAGAAAGAAGGCAACAAGTTGTTCGCAGGGTGACACCAAGGTGGGGCTGTCAGGGGCTGACCTTCTCACCCCGAGGTCGGCCCAGGTCAGGGAGCTGGCTGAGGGGTCCCCTCGGGGTCAATCACCCCCAACCAGTGTCTGTTCCATGGACCTGAGTGTACGTCTTCCGATGGGGCCAGCGTGCCTGACCACGAGCCTCAGTGTCCTCACCTCTAAACTGGCCCAATGACACCTGCCTTTGGGGGTCTCCTGTGAGGGTTAAAGAGGGCCCCTCAAACGAAGGACCCAGAGCACCAGGCTCCTGGTCTCAAGGGTCAGGATGAAAGATGTGGAAGCCTGGGAGGGGAGGGAGGAAGGTCGTTTCAAATAAGGGACGAGGGAGAAAATTGTGCTGGGAACAGACCCTTAAAAATGCCTAAGAACAGAGAACTGTGCCCTCTCTCTGGGACAGCATGAATCCTTTTAGTTTGGAAAAAAATGGGCGCGGGCCTCTCAAAATATCCCTAAATACGCATATGGTCTTATCTGGAAGCTTCCTTTCACCTGAGCCCCCAATCCCCTAAATTCCTGGGGTCTTGGGCTGTATGTCACAGGCAGCCTGTGCCTGGCACGTCTTTGGAGAGAATGGTCCTTGGGCTCAGAGCACTGTGGTGCGGGATCAAGGCCAGGAGCCTGGCACACACAGCCATCCCAGGGCTGCCATACTGCCGCTTGACCTGGGAGGCTCTGCTTCACCCCCCTGAGAGGAGTTACCCCAAAGCAGCAGTGGGCCGAGGTGGCTTAGAGGTTGAGCTTCACTTCCCAGTGACTGTGGGGCTGAACAGAGCCCTGATCTCGGTGTGCTGTCATCCTAGGGCACCTGTGGGAAGGACGCACCTCTGATGGGGCCTCTGGTGGCACATTGGACAAAGTCCTGTGCTACGGATTAGGGCACATGAAGAGTTAGGACACCCAGTCACAGTTCATTCCCCATCTTCTGGTCAAAAGTCATGGAAGCCATTCCAGCGCACAGTGACCCCATAAAGCAGAGCAGAGCTGCCGCTAAGGTTTTGTTGTTCGATGCCGTCAAGTCATAAATCTAGAAGACTCATCACAACAGCCCTTCGATGTTTTTGAAGTGTGAGGCTGTAAATCCAGAAGCAGACTGCTTCGACTTTGTTCCATGGAGCAGCTGGTAGGTTTGAACTGCCAACCTTTCAGTTTGCAGTCAAGCTGCTTAATTAACTTAAAATATTTTAGCTTGAAAATTCTGGCAAGCTGGTTTGGCCCTGCCCTTTCAACTCCCTGGTGGCTTTTGAGAGGTTTCTGAGGGTCGCTGAGAGACTCTCCTCACCCCTCTGTTCCCCAGGGTGGTCCCCATCCCTGGCCCTCACCTCATGGCTCCAGCCACTCACAGTATCACTGAGGCCTGGAGGGAGCAGGGGGAACTCAAGGATCGTGAAGCTCTGACTCGAGGACACTTATCTTTGCATGGACAAAACACAGAAAGTTCTGGAAGCTCTGGCTGTCCATCCACTTCCCACTCCCACCCTGGCCTCCCTGTGGAGTGATTTGTACCCAGAAGACACGCAGTTTGTGTGGTGACACGAAGAAGTGTGAGATTGGCAGCAGTCTGGTTCTTCATCCAGGCTCTCTCCTGTCTCCAGCGGGCCCTCCTCACAGGTGCTGTGGCCATTCATGGGTTCCCTCAGCTGCCCTGAGAACCCAGATGACCCCTGGAGGCTTCTTGCCAGCCCTGGACACAGTCACATTCCCCCTCATTCACACACACAGGCACTGTGACCATCTGACGGAGCTCTGACCCTAACCTGACCCCACACTCACACAGAGCCTTCCCTGAAGTGACCCTTCTCTTCAGCCCCCACGTGCCAGCCCCCACCAGGAAGCTTCAAGGATCCCTGCAGGATGCCGGTCCTCGAAGGCCACCCAGCAGGGCCACCCTGTTCTGTGGCATCTCAGCGAGTCCCTCATGGTTGATGTGAACCCATTTCATGTGACAAAAGATGCGTCTCAGACTCAATTATCTTTTTATCCTCCAAATACCATGAGCATGACTGACAGGAGTTAAGAATTGAAGCCATTGTTGTCAGTGCAGTGACCTATGGATAGAGTGGAACTGCCCCCACCGCTTCCCATCTCTGTGCGTCTTTAGGAAAGTGGACTCTCTGATTGTTCTCTGGTGGAGCAGCCTGCAGTTTCGAACCGCTGACCTTTTAGTTAGCAGTCAAGTGCTTCATCACTGTGCTCCCAGGGCTCAGTTGTTCACTGATTGAATGGACCTACCCTGTCCCTAATCCTCATGGAAACCCTGTGAAAAGTCTCATCTCCATTTATTTTTTTCCAGGAGTTGGAGAGGGGCGGTGACCTGCCTGAGATCTCAATACACAAGACTCTTTGCCTCTGAATCTTCCAAAGGTGCCATTTGGATCAGTAAATACCATTTAATTACCACTGATCATAAAATGAATAATGTGCCTAGCTGTGTGAGGGTTAATTTTAATGAAAGTATACAGAGACTTAGGGTTTCCAAGTCATTCATTGTTGCACTTTTCTGCTGTGAGAGTTTAAGAAGGAAAAGAGCCACTGTTGAATGGATGTCATCAGAGGGACACACTGTCAGATTCCAGGAAGGGAGGCTCAGTCTCTGCTGGAACAGCCTCAGATGTTATCCTTTATCAGTGTTTACCCATGACCTTCTTCTCCCAGGGCCACATTTGGGCTCCAGGAGACCTGTGAACACAGTAGGCTCATTTTTTCAGGGGACAGGCACTTTCTGAAGTAGGGGAGGCAGATGTTTGAGCCCCCAAAGAGATGTCCTAGGATGAGCATTCTCTCTCTCCGTGGCCTGCAAGGTAGAACCCCCCCCCCCAAGTGCTCAGGGCTTGTCTTTTCTGTCAGCACCCACTTAACTTCCCCGGGACTGGCTGCTGGCAGGTTCTGTTGTGGGTTTAAAATACACAAGAGTGCTTGGAAATATACAGCATTTAGCAAAACAAAATAAAAGGCTAAGTAATTTACCAAAGCCCAAAAAGCTAAGAAGCACTGCCTTCATTGGGGTTTCTCCAAAATGATATCACTCGTAGAACTTGGTACTTACGTTCTTTACTCAGGTAAGAAATCGTCCCCCGTGTGAGCTATGATCACCAATCCTATCCAGTCTATCCTGGTATATAACAGTTTCAAAATCCTGGAAGTGTGACATTTTAACTATTAGTGGAGCTTTGGTGGCCTAGTGTCCAGAAGCTGTGCTGCAATCCCAAAGGCACGTGGTTCAAGGCCCCTAGTTGTTCCACCAGAAAAGGATGGGCAATCTCCTCCAATGTGATTAACTGCCTCTGAAAACCTGCTAGAGGGGCAGCTATGAGTCGGTTTTGACTCTATGGTACACAACAACAACATCTGCAAGGAAAAACCCCTGTTTCTCAAAATAAGATCAGTTCAAGCATTAGGACTTCAGCATATCATTTTGGGGACACAACTTAACTCATAAATGCATTCACAGAATTATTCCTGTGTCATGGTTGGTTAGTCCAGAACACAATCATTGGGCCTGAACACCTGGACGAGGGAACCCTGAAATTTCTCACACGTTTCACTACCCTTTGCCTTCTCTGTGCGAGTCTCTAAGGAGGGGAGACAGAGTTGTTAAGTTCAGATCAGTATATATGGAATCGTCTGCTTTTTTCCATTCAAACTCC